ATTTTTCATGACAAAGGCCTGTGCACAGAAATGCTAGCTATCTCCCTGGACATTATGCATCTCAGACTCTGCTCAGCCAAGTTAAAAGTCACCACAGATGGGTTTAGTTTCTATAGTTTTACTATTTGACTTTATTATCCCATCTAAAATGGATTCCCTCTCAATTATCTGTATGCGAGGTACAGTAGATACCTATGCAGGACAGATAGTCCTGAATGATAAACAACATGGAACTATATTTTTTCTTCACACTAGCACAGCAGCTAGTTCACTTCTTACTTGCGCATAGATAATTCAGAACACCAACCCCAGCCATTCACTTGTAAAAGCTCATTTAGAAATTGTGTGCATTTTGGTCACCAAGATACAGTTAAAGAAAGGTATCACTTCTCTGAAATCTGTCCTGAGAAGAGCCACTATATACTGTACAGAATTTTTGTGGGCTGAAAGGAATGACCTACTGTACACTGACAGGCAAAAAGAACTGGAACTTTTTAGTGTTGAAAAGAGATCACCCAAGGGAACCTGACTCAAGTATTTAAAAATCTCAAAGACACTGATAAAGTCAACTCAATTGACCATTTCAGAATCATCAGGGAAACACGAGTCACTGGAAACTACACGGAAGTCCATTTAAAAGTAATGTCAGGAGGCACTGCACATAGGGTAGCAGGTATAGAACATGCTGCCCACCTATGTTGTTGAAACTGATAATGTTGCATAATTAAAAAAACCGTTAGCTACTAAAACATCTATCCAAATGGGCAGAATAGCTTCTTCTTATTTAGAACTGTTCTTAGACCCTCTATGTAATTCACAAGCTCGGTATGTGTCTACATGACAGTAGTATGATTTCAGATAGGAGTGTGCTGAGCTCTCAACTGCTCCCTCTCAATAACTATTGTCCAACTGCCCTTATTCTTCAGGCACAATGTCTTTTGTTCACTGGTCTGTAGGCAAATCCATTTTAGATTCGTAGGCCATGTAGTAACATTGACAATCTTTAATTTCACTTATTCATGTTCACATATTGTAATAATATTATCAGTAATACCGCCATTGTACTTTTCTGGTAAAGAAAAGAGACACTCTTGAATCATGATTGGTTGAATTCATTTACAGAACTTGTTTTTTAATGGGACCAAATACAGCTACTGTACAGCACAAACCTTTTCGTTATTGAAAAAAATGTATGATCTGACAATATGGTCAGATTTCTTTACTGAAGAGCAGAGAAAAAGTCCTTTTATACAACATGTATGTTTTTTTTTATGATAAGAAAACTAATGAGAAGAATTTAAAAAACAGAAGTGTGGAGAAACACTTTAAACAATTAAACCCAAATGCCTGTTAATAATTCAGAAAGGAAGAGGTTTTGAGTACAATAGACTCTTTCCCATTTCTTGCAATGATATCTTTATAAGATCCCACAATTTCTAAAAAAAAGAAAGGGAGGGGAATGACAAGGTTATCCTTTTTATAACATCAAAATACCTTATTTACATGTACTGTGCAGTAAGTTGTTTTTAATTTCCTGTAACGTTCTGGCAGCAGAAAGCAAAACAAAGTAAAGTTGGTCACTAATGCAAAAAACATGTAAAATAAATAAATAATCTAAGGATAACAGAATAAAAATATATAGTAGTTACTATAGTAAAGTTACAGTTTCCCAGATGTCAAACTTGATCACCCTATTAGCAAATAAGTGGCACAGTAACTCATTACCGGAGTAAACACATACTGTATCAGGGAATATCTTTGGTTAGTTACTGATGAACCAATAATAAGCATTCAAAGTTTTTAAAAGCTGTTTTACTGATATAAGGGGATGTTACTTCAGAACACTTCAGTGTTCTAAAAAGATACACTTGTCTTACTCCAGGAAATGAAAGAAGTTCATCGTCCTCCCTAAGCAATATAAAATTAGTGGCATTAGGCTGAAATATGCTCCTAATTCAACAATATGAAGCAGATGAAATACTACCGTACATGAATGAATTACAGTCAACACAGCAGGTAGATCGCATGTGAATGTGCATTAGCTCTAAAATTTGATGTTATATCAATAAAAAATCTTAACCAAGCATATACTTCCTACTTTGGAAAAATAATGAATTTGTATTAAATGGAGTCTTAAGAGTGAGAATTGCACATCTAGTTTCAATTCATACATGGAAATACAGTGTATTTTTCTAATAGTTGGAGGAGTCAATTCCATTTAAAGGATCACCTCTTAAATCTTTATTTTTCCACTGCAGTTGGTACCCCTGGTGTGACATGAGTCCCCTAACTATACACTGGACAATGGTTTGATCCCTGAGCAGAACGTAAAGGTAGTGGAGTCGTCTCTGAACTGTAAATCTCAATTCATTGTGCAACAGAGCTTTTGCTACAAGTTCTAGGCTCACTCACAAGGCTGAAAGTCGATAAGTCAGTATCTTAAAGATTTATCTGACACTGAAAGTGTTATGTGTCCATCAAAAGATATCAGTCAGTAATATAAAAGAATTCCAGCTGCTGATAATGAAATTCTTTATCTAGCAATGAAAAGCCAGATGAAAAACACAACAGCAATCTCTCAAGCAGCATGTACTGTATAGACAGTATGTGTTGTGATGCCTTCAGTTCATAGAATGGGCACATTAAGCCTACATTACATTCCTTATATTGAATCTCACAAAAACAGATATCTGAAATGTGTTCTCTTTAAAAAATAAGTCACTGTGATAGCTTGTATATTTCATGTTAAAAAAATTTAAAATGTGAGTAAACTGGCTGCACTATAATTTTAAAGTAGATACGTATAGTTAAAATTAACTGACTAATTCTCTAATCCATTGGTCAACAGTATCTACTGTACATACAATTATAGTGTCTAAAACAGGATTTATTTAATTTTATTATAATACATATGTAATACAAATATATACTTTATTATAATACATACAACATCCAGTTAACATTCCCTTTGCATGCTGACAGTCTCTGCTTTTTCTGTGGATGAGAGTAATCCACCAATGAAATGGGAGTTCCTGGCTCATACTATCTGAGAGATATTACCTACAGTATTTATCACATGTAGGTAAAGGTCTTGGAAAGTGCTGAGAACATTCAGACCACTCCTAGTAAAAATTAAATTGGAGCTTTGGGACAAGAAAATAACCTCCCTGTATGAGTGGCATCTGCTGAGAGCTGTCCAAGGTGCTGAATACTCATTTCAACACAATACTGAGTTCTGAGGCCATAATAATAATAATAATAATAATAATAATAATAATAATAATAATAATAATAATAATAATAATAATGTTCATTAAATAAAAATAATTCAAAACACTATTAAAAAATAAATAAGAATCAGATTAAACACATTAATGAATGTACTGTATAGTGGGTGGGACATTTTATCATTAAGTCTATCAGTTTAAATAAGTTAATTTACAGTTGAGATAAAAAAAATGTAATCTGGCTAAACTTTCCTGATCTCATAGAAAGAGTTTTCCACAGAATAGATGCACGGCAGGACTAAGCCCTGTCATCGTATTACTTTGTCGTCTTGTTGAAGGGACAAAACAAGAGGCCAGACCCAGAGATTCAGACAGTGTGGCTAGGGGTGTGATTTTGAGCAATACTTGAGCAAGTATTTGAGCAATACTTTGAAGTCTATGTGAAATTACTGACTACAGTGCTGCAAACATTAGTTTACAATTTGTTTGAAAGAACTTCAAATGAACACATTTTAATAACGTTTACCAAATGTAGATGTTGTTTTAAATGTTGCAGGATCAAGCTCGGCTGCATTACAGTACATCTCCTTTTCTGATTTCCCTCTTTACAAGACAGACATATCTCACAGATTTGCAGAGTTTTAGCTTTCGGGATCACATATGAAAAAAGATATTAGACACTAAAAGCCATTTACATGCTGCAGCTACAGTACATTGCTAAAGCAGGAAGATGAACTGGTAGCACTTGAATGAAGGAAAAGTGTCTGAACTGTAATACTGTAAGACTGAACTGGTTTTCTTGTATTCCACATGCACATGGGACCAACCTGAAAACATGCAGGTATGTAACAAATAACTAAAGGAAATAATTTCTTCTCATTGTATATCTACAACATCCCTCTGTAGATTTAAAAAGATGCCTGCCTAAATAACCTCTAAAAAGAAGTCTCTGAACATAATTTCCACATTTACTTTTTGGTGTGCCCCAGACATGTCCTACCATGTCTTTGTAGTATTTATTCATGTGAAGTCAAATCAAATGATTCCACAGAAACTAAACTTACCACAATGCAAAAAAACAAAAACAAAACAAAACAAAAATCTAACAAAAATTGAAAACAAGTGTTTTCATTTGTCATGCAAACAAACCTTACCAGAAAGAACAATTAAACTAATACAAGAGCACAATGAATTTAAGGAGCACTATAATTAAGCCAAAACCTGTTATTCTTTGAAAGTTCAATACCAATCATGAAAAAGCAACATCTACACAGTGTATCTGGCTACAATATAACCAGGTCAGGAAAGTGTATTCACCAACAATCGACTGATCATATAAGAAAGCTTATCATCTGCAAATGAATCGTAAAATTCCTGCCACATCCAGTTCATAATACCAGCAAAAACCTATTAACTACTGTATATATTAATGCTCAACCCTTGCTGCATGTCTTCTCTAGAACAGTTTTAACATCTAGCACATATTCTGAGCTCAAAGCATTTTACTTAGGAAACCAAAACGGCAAAGAAAACAAGCCCTAATGGTTAGACCCAGAGGAAATGTACCCCGTAAAAACATTTCTGGAATTTTCTTCTTCCATCCTTGTCAGTGGCATATTATTCTGATTTTTTTCAAGGCTCTCCTCACACAAAGCAATTTCCTTTCCTTCGGCGTGGCTCGATAACACGCGGCAGGAGGGAGAGGGAGACTCACAGAGACCGGAGAAGGGAAGGGAGGAGAGGCGGAGGGAAGCGGGAAGGAGGGCTGTGTACCAGAATCATGTGCCCGGTGGAGATGTCCATGTTGGACTGAACCGGCTCCTCACACCAGGAGGAAGTGCTGCTGCGGGCGGTGGGGCTGGGGATGGGCCCATCGCTGAACTGGGACGAGACGCTGTTGATGCGGGAGGAATGCTGGGGCTCCGGGCGCTCAGACGTCTTGACAGCCATGCGCTGCCGACAGAGCTCCTGGAAAGGCGGGAAGGGAGGGAGAAAGGGGAGGGAGAAAATTCAAATTACTTACATCTTTTTCCCAGGGAATAACGCCTGTCAGTTAATGCTAAATAGTGTGAAAGGTTTAGTTTGCCCCTTCTATATCCAAATACTCCATAATTGCATCTATCTATGGTAGTTTTGTAAGGTTGTACACAAAGTTTAAATAATTAAAAATCACGGCGTGCTTTGGTTCAAAAGCTTTCTGATGGTTAAGGTGATGATGGAATAACCAGCCAAACAAGAAGCTCTATCCAAAATGCCCTAAAATAAATGTTAATCATTTGGTTATAACATTAACATTTTCTTTTCTAGGCATTTGTACACTGTAGTTGTAGTGTACAGTACTTGACATACCTTGACATTTCTTTTCCTCTACATAGAGTAATAAGAATATTTTCCATTATAAATATACATTAGGATTACATATTTGGCACCCAAAAGTTAGCCTGTAACTAAATAAGGGTTTCTGTGTCGAACATTCCCAAGAACATTTTCTTTTCCATATATATTTTTATGCATCACACATATATTCATGATATTCATGACACAGGTATATATCTTTAAATTTAAATTTAAATGCATATATATTTCAGTAAATAGCTATATTGTTGGCTGTTTTATTCTGCAAATCTCCCTATACTGTCCTGGCATAACATTTTTTCCTCTTTTACAAGTTTAGGAGGCAATATTTTAAAAAATGTGTTCAAGGTAGTACACCTAATCTATTGTAATTTAGGTCACATACAGTACAAAAGCAATATTACTAAGGAGAGTACAGCCTATTACAGTATATCAAAGCAATACACACAGTGACTAAAATGGTCCTCTTATTTTTGCTATTCAAACCCAGTATGCTATTAAAAAAAACAATTAAGATTGATTGCAATACTGCGTGGTGTGCCTAGGGTCCAACACTTCCCCATTAGTCTGCAAAGCACAAGACCTTCTATAGTTGTTCTGTAAAATAATTCATCACCAGTGGAGGAAGAACAAACACAAATTACAGCACATCAAATGAATGTCTCCTCTACCTCCCCCCCCCCAAAAAAAAACAAAATAAAAAATCATTTTTGCATTCTGTGCCAATGTTAGTGCTCATCAGCTTATGCAGTGAATGAAAGAAGGGACCTGTGTTAGAATAGTTTATGATGACACTGCTAATTCAATTAAAACCACACTGTCCATCCAGTCCTCATTTTTATAAGAACATGTACTTTCTTCCCATTTTGTTACAGTTCATCTATGTTCACCATTCATCTCTGTTGTCTTCTGCCACTCCTGATCCATGCTCAGTCAAGTAAGCCATAGCTCTGGCGATTACCCACATCTCTAACTACTTTGCTATAACTGTTCCTTCTCCACACACACTCAGACGTGCCGACTCAGACAAGATCCCCAATACAACTTACCCCTGAAATAATATAGGGCGGTCTGAACAAAATGTAACCTATAGGGATTCTGCAGTGCTAGAAAACTGATTTCCTTTTTTCAGAAATATTAAAATGCCTTAAGCGTAAACACTTTAATACAATAAGAAAGGGAAAAGGCAGGAAATCAGATTAATATAATAAAAATAAAACCAGTGATTCACGACTATAAGCTGCAAGCATTGTCACTAAGGTATGATCTGTGGCTCCATGAATGAGTAAAGTTACTCCTTAATGTCACATTTAAACTTCATATCTTTCAACTGCACAATGAGAAAAAGGAGAGACCTTATTTCTATAAAAATACTAATAACTTCATTTTCCCTTTGCTAAATCAATCCTTCCCTTGCAATTCGTGGGTATATTTAGTTTTAGTATAAATCAGACCTTCCTAAATTACTCCTAGAAAATCTGAGTCTCGACACTCAACAGAAAAAAAACAGCATGCAAGTTAGATTTGGTACATGATATCTTACGTTTTTAATTTAAACCATCAATCTGATAAAGTAAAGACAATTAAAATACCACAAATAAAATTGTGAAACTGAAATTAATTGAACAATAGGTCCTTTTAAGGATTAGTTAGGGAATGCAGTTAATGATCAACATTTTATGTATATACAGTATACAGTACTATGCATATATCAAGATAGAACTACAGAGTACAAAATTCAAAATAAGAAACCTAATCTGCATAAAATATTCTATTAAATAAGCCTAAGAGACTGGTTATATTTTGATTGTTTTAATTCAACAGGGATTAAAACTCTGTCACAAAGCATTTAATGCAGATTTCAAATGCTTTTGTCAAAGGTGAAGGAAAAGATGAGGACTTCTGAATAAGCAAGGCAAAAAAAAGCAATTTGGAGGCTGGAACTCTGCTTTCTGTTCTCCTGAGGCGCTTAAGCATTTAAAAAATAATTTACTTCTGTTTAGGATACGAAATGGAGAAATGAACTATTTTTTTGTGAATACAGCCTAAAATTTGAAAAGGTTAAGCAAACCAGAAACGTAAAGGTCACAAGTAAAGTGACTACATAGGTTTATAGCGCTATTTCCTTACTTCATTTTTGTCTCTGGCATCATTCATTTTTATTTCCCTGCTGGCCAGCTGTGACCAGATATCACAAGTAAAATTTGAAGATCAAAGGATTTTCAAAACTACTTAGTTTGGAGCAGTGTGCAGTGGTAATTTATTTCCCCTCAGCGACTCTTGAAACTTCTGAGCTCCTAATGACAACTCTGGTAAACAGAAGGTTTGAAGCTGCTGAGGTACAGCACCTTCCTTTAACAACATAAGGCTGAGTAAGACACCCTGTAGGGCAGGCATCAGGCAAGGTACATAATTATCTAAGAAGGTAGAAAATGCAAGATGGAGAAATGGAAACACAACAGTGTCCTGCCATTTACAGCACAACGTTGAGACGTTATTCTACCATTGCCATTTGGAGAATGAGGGGTTGAAGAAAATGAACCTTTCAACTCAGCTTTTCATTCCTGTCCTGTTCTAAAATGTTTAACTGAAACTCAATTTATGTTGTGGAGCCACTGTATAGTACGTGAGTTGTCAAACACGAAGAGGAACAACCTTTCAAAATATGCTTGTGTAAATATTTAGGATGCAGAATGTTTTTAGATCCTTCACAAACTAAAAATGTCTACATTTGCAGCAGTCAATGAGGGACACAGAGAGCAGCTGTTGACATGTTACTACTTAAGACTGTAGTACATCTGTAGTGTAAGTCTGCATAAAATAGTCTATTAAATAAGCCTAAGAGATTGGCTGTGAAGAATATAGTAAAAAAGAATGAGCAAAATGATTTTAAACAGTGGTAATATATGACTAAACATAACTAAATGAGTAAAAGTCAAGTTTGTGTGATTGCATACTGTATATGACTTCCGACAAAGAGGATTTTCATACTGTGACATACAGTATTTTGAAAGTCTGATTGTATTAAACAATACACTACATAAACCTGTGGAAAATGTGTACATGACAGAGTAATTACCTAAAGTTATAAACACCCTCCTCCACCACCTTAACTCAAAGTAATGATTTTGCTTCCACAAATGAAGCATGCCACATTCAAAGAAATATTTCACACTCTTAAATGATATTTTGCCAATAATTGCACATCTCACTGATAAGAAAGTGCAGTTCTTGTTCAGAGAGTCCGGTCTGCTGTTAGGTTAGGCCACCCCAGAACTACTGCACATTACTTAGTTGCAATGTACTTTTAAGCTCCCTCTGTAGGACATCCAAAGGTCGCGCATCAGGGATCAAGATGGAAGATGTCAATGCTTGATAATGTTTTAGTTTGGGTTGACTGTTCCAGCAGAGGGTCTCACTGTCTAATGAAAGATCACATCATGAAACTTATCAGTACTGTGAATGGTGACCTGGCACAGAAAGAAGTTTGTTTTCACAGAAACTCTCATCACATCCCTTATCTTGTCTGCTATGTGATGTGGCAAGAAATGCTTACTTTGTCCTCTCCATGTTTTCTGAAAACGGTGTGTCTTCCCATGGACTAGAATACCACATCATACAGAGGGCTTTATCAACACTTCTAGTGTAGCCCAAGGCTTCACTAGTGGTCCCTGTTACAACAATCCCAGTCCGTTTTGATCCTTTGCAGAAGCAGGTGAGTACTGGTATTGTACTTTTTAAAGAGTATTCTTTGTCAGTGCATACATCGTTTGAGAGAACTACTTTTTTGTGAACCAAGTTTTTAAACCACATTTAAATGTTAAGGGTGAATTTTATGAACAGGATGCCACTCTACATTGTGCATTTGACATATCCTTCTCAAAAATGGACAAACAGGGGTTCATTCACATAATTTATTCAAACCTATAAGTTCATCTGTGGAATTGTTGGAGTTTTTGTCGATGCACACCAAATAAAGCACACGCATACAAACATATATATACTGTATATAAATTGCCGAAAATAATATTAATTAGCTCTCACCATTTCACAATGCCGCTAACCAATATTCATAGAGCGTTATGCATATTTTAAGTCAAAATTAGCAGTGACAGCAATCCATTTTGACACACAGTCCTTTTTTGGAACATGTGATGCAGTCAATTTAAAAATTCCCATTCTGGATCATGGGCCACTGCCACGTAATTGTTAATGCAGTTTCCTCATAGCACTTGAGCCCTGGACTTGATTACAGGCTGGGACACAATGCCTGGAGCCTGCATGGGTTTTCTCTGTGTGCTTCTGTTACCTCCAACTGTTCAAATACATGCAAACTCAGTTAATTAGTGTCTCAAAATTGGCCCCAGTATGTATATGTGTACCTTTACGGACAAAGCAGTTCCCAAAAATGGATGGATGGTTTTGAGTAAATATACAATGCAAACTAGCACTAAAGTGTTCTTTTTTTTGTGAAAAAATAAGCTTGATTATGTAACATCATTCATGCAATAAAATAATGTTTACTTGGATGCCATGAAAATAATGTACAATAATGATAGAGAATTAAGATTTGAACACAAACACCACCATCAGTAACATTTAATTATCTTTTA